TGTCATTAAAACAAAGGTCACACAAAGCAGTGTTACCAGCGACTCTACTTTTGCGCATAATGTCACCATGGTGAGGTCACATCCCAGTCCTCCGTCTTCTGTCTTAATGCTTTACCGTTTACTGTGTGGTGGTGGTCTGCTGAACCACTTAGGGGTCTGTTGGAATTCATGGATTGGGCCTTTCAGCCGCGGCTGTCTCAGGTTTCTCAATGTAGGCCCACAGCTGTCCCTATAGTCGCCGCGATTCTTTATTTGGCACAATAACCGTGCGTAAAAGGTATTTCCAGTGCGCCCTCGGCGCCTGCCATACCCAAAAGCATTCTACCAAAAAAAAAAAAACCAAAAAAAACCAAACAAACAATCCCTTCCAGCATTGGTTATGAAATGATTGTCAATATTGAAACTGTTGTAAATGACTTGGCCTATAATCTGTCTAACATGTCTTATACCGATATCAATTCGAGATCATTCCGATCTTTGAAATGATCTTTTTCAAGAGAGAGCTGGCCAAGAGGGCAGAAGAAATTGTAACAAATACAACATCACAGTTCTAGAAAATAATGTTAGCGAGCCGAAAATACTTAATTAATTATAATGTAGGTACGGATGCGTCATAGATCCTGTTGACTACACAGAAACATCTGAAATCACTTCGATCGATTACTCTGTGTCGTACCAAGGTGGCTTTTTCATAAGTCATTCATTTTAGTTCCATTTAATGTTTTCAAATTTAAGTAATATCACGCAATAAGCAGTACATATAATCTATAGAGATCTCGTTTTCATTTGTACAGATAAATAAAACGTCACTACACGTGACATATTTTTTGTTTTCAAAACACAAGTGCTATATTGTTGGTGTTTCTTTGAGATTTTTTTTGACAACGTAAAGGAAGTGAGCACCACATGAGTTGGACTGATCCAGAACTTCACGGCATTAATGAAAAGCTGAAACATTTGAGGCTCTCGGGCTACTTTACGGCTCAGAGTTCGGTTTGCCCACAGCTGTGTGCAGCGGTGCTGAGGAGTCAAGGCACACTAGAAGAACAGGCGCCGTTAATTTCAAAATAAAAAGCAAACGTTACATTTTCAGGTATCCAGACGCACTGACAGACTTCAAAGTGGTTATATGCTGAAAAGATGACATTTTGTGCATTAGAGATAATGTTTAAGCAAAGGCCAGAATGAGGAAATTTAGAACAATTTTCAAAGCCTGTGTTTGGTTAAATTATAAACCAATGTGAGGAAAAAACATTCAGTGGGTAGCGACTGGAGTGATTTGTATTTCAAAAAGCACGTGATGACCGGGGACTTGTGTACTGTTATGTTTATCATTACTGTTTTTTACTTTGTGTTTTCCCCAGTAAAACGCAGTTACCTCTATTATAAGGCTACATCTTATTTTGAAGGAGTTCATGTTTTTCTTTTCTTTTCTTATTGTGGTAAGTTTGACGGAGGGGCTTGCCTCTCCCAGCTCCCACATTCCTTCCACCATGGTAAGAAAAAAGTTTGTACAGCGAGCTGGAGGTTGTCCACGTTTACAGCATTCAGACACCGCTGCCCAGCTCCACATCTGCAGCCCGGCCCCTCTGCGCTGTGAAGAGCGCACTCCAACGCAGGGCTTAAACTGATTTATGTTTTATGTTTTTAATTTTTATTTTTTGGTGTTTTTATTTGAAATCCATTTTAAGTTATTCTGCAAACAATGTTTTCTTTTTGCATTGCCTTTTTTCTTCTCATCTCCGGCTCTTTCGTGGAGTGTAACCCCAGTCCTGTGCTTGGAGATGTAGTCGTGGACAGATACTTCATCCCCAAAGACTGCGCCAGAGAAGTGAAAAGCGGAGATTACGTCCGCTATCACTATAACGCAACATTTATCGATGGAAAAACTTTTGATTCGAGGTGAGTCGGTCCACATTACGCTATAATTTACGTTTTTACTTCATTGTCGGCTGCAGAGGCCCTAAAGAATCCCCAAAATGCAAAGGCTGACTGTAGCAGCAAAATAATGTCAAAAATACCGAGATAATGATTTACAAGTTCAAGCAAGTTTGCAGATTCCGTTAATGAGGCTCTACATGCACATTCCGCAGAGGCAGCCCTCTCCGAGTTCTTGACCCACTTGTGACGTTCCTTTGTTTCCTTCACAGCCATCAGAAAGGAGCAGCTAAAGTCGGTCTGATCGGGGAGGGTCGGCTCATTGCGGGGATGGACAAAGGTCTGCAGGGCATGTGTGTGAATGAGCGCAGGAAAATCACCGTCCCGCCACAGCTGGCCTATGGAAACACCGGTGCAGGTGAGTGCAGAGGTCATGTGTCAAAATTATTAGGCACTAATTTTCAAAGGACGTTTTTATCAATAGATCATTAATACCCATTGTAGACTTGTACAGTGCAAAAATGCCCCAACTCAACTCAATGCAACCCACAGCAGACAGGGGTAGACACATACAATAATTTGGAGTGCAATATGGCTGTGGGATGATTAAAGAGTTTGCAGCTGTGAATCTAGAGAAAACAATGTACTGCATAGATGATAATTTTTGGGCTTGTTTAATTAGATCTTTTTAAAATGATTTTATAGCACACAAGAGAGTTTCCACTCTAACCAACAGCTCATATCCAGGATTTTAACTTGGTTCCGTAGCAGCTACTTTGTGGCTTTTCTGTTTTAGAGTGTGCATAAATAGCCTATAGTTTTCCTGGCTACCCTAGGTGGGCTGTTTGATGTCATGCGTATGTGATTCCAATCTACAAACAAACTTGTGTAATCACTTTTCACAAACTGGCAGTTGTCCAGCATAGAAATGCTTTCTGGTTTCTGTAGACAGGCCTGTTGCTTCTTTAGCAGGCTTACTAACTTTCCCCCCTTAAAGACACTATTTGGCAACCCATTGTACCATTATATAGTTTCTGTGTTTATTTGTTTTGGTTTTTAAGGGTGGTTGCATAGGCAGAGACCACTCTCACTAACATTTTGAACTAGGGCCAGGAGAGGGTTATATTTCTAGTAGGCTTTCAAGGGGTAAAGAGTTAAGGTGGCTTCACTGTTCTGGAGGTGGATCGGCTGCAGAGGCCCTAAAAATAATAATAAAATAAAATAAAAAATGCAAAGGCTTGCTGTAGCAGCGAAATGACATTTAGAAAAGTCAAAAATAACAGCTTGAGGGTCATACAACACTTGATAATAATACCATCATCAAGTGTTGAAATGCAAACTTAATGGCACTCAAAGTGTATCTAAACAAGAGTTATTCTTCTGTATTTGTAGTTGTTAAAGTGCCGGAAACTAAATTACCAACATCCCATTTCAACTGTAATGTATCACTTATGGAAATGCATGTAAAATCAATGCTTGTGTGGATTTTGGAGCACAGTGTGAAAGCCTTAGTGACCATAAGTTATTTGTTTGTTTTGCTTCCACCCATATCTGTCTGCAGCTTCCACCTAACTGTCATCCAACCTTATTTTCAGGTGACGTTGTTCCTCCAGACGCCACCCTCGTGTTTGACATCCACCTGCTGGATCTGTGGAACACGGCCGACCTGGTTGTAACCACAACCATCACCACTCCGAAAGACTGCAAGCGCTCCGTGATGCGTACTGACTTTGTGCGTTACCATTTCAACGGCACTCTGCTCGACGGCACCGTCTTTGACTCCAGGTGAATTCTGATTTTGGTGACTGTTTTCTGAAGAAGATAAGATGTTTATTGACTCTTTCTTCAATGAATGGGACCAATATTTTAAGGCAATTTTATCTCTAAGTCATCAAATCTTTAATCCAAATCACAACTCTAATTTGTCTGTACTGTGTCATCCAGGTATGTTGTCTGTGTGAAGTTGTGTGTTTGACTTTGCGCTTGTATGAGCCCCACGCAGCTACACCAGGAAACAGACACACAACTCCCTAGTAGGTGAGGGTTGGATGATCAAGGGCATGGATGAGGGCCTGTTGGGCATGTGTGTGGGAGAGATCAGAAAAATCGTCATCCCGCCGTTCAAAGCCTACGGAGAAAAGGGATCGGGTGAGGAACTCCGAATTTTATAAAGAGATTGAAATGTTGATTCAACAAGGGACCAATTGTGGCTGATCAATGTATTTGTGAAGGGAAATCCTTTTTACAAACAGAATAAGTCAAATAATTGAGACGGTAACATTAAAGCCGAGGTAGGCAACGTGATTTTGATGCTTAAGGATGCTGCAAAATACTCTGTGAAACCAGAAGTTCAAAGTTTTTTGTGGTGTATCACAAACCTTTTTCTTCTTTCTAAGCTGTTTGCAGTTTTGAATAAATCAAAGATGAATAAAATGTTTCACCCAAATGAAACTCTTCTATATCCAACCACTTGCATGTTGCAACTAGTAGATGCGACATTCAAAATTCTCCACTTTTCTGTCTGCCAGGTAACGAGATTCCCCCTCAGGCGACTCTGGTGTTCGACGTCCTGCTGGTGGACATCCACAACCCGAAGGATAACATCACTGTTGAGAACCAGGTGGTGCCGGAGTCATGCACTCGCAGGTCCGTGGTCGGAGATTACATTCGGTACCACTATAACGGCACCTTCCTGAATGGAGTCACCTTTGATACCAGGTCAGCTCATGCTCTGCTGATTTGGCTGCAGCTTAATTTTCATTTTATATGTGAAATAATACTGCTGTCACATCACTGCCAATACAGCTTAAGGTTTAAACATAAACTTGCATTTTTGGCCTTTTTATTGTCCCCAGTTACCAGAGGAACAGCACTTACAACACCTACATTGGGATGGGGTACGTAATAATGGGGATGGATCAGGGCCTGCTGGGACTCTGTATTGGGGAGAAGAGGAAGATCACTATTCCTCCACACCTGGCATATGGAGAGAACGGAGCAGGTGAGTCAGTGTAAAGTTTCCAAGCATCAGGGAAGTTCTCTCCTCCAGAAAATAAAACCAACTCAAACTGACAGAAATCTTATTATGTCTTAAGGGTGTCACAAATGTAAAATGGCATTGTTAAGCTACTACATAATACCTAATAAATCCTATCCTGGCTTATATATAGATTATAGTACGACACAAAAACTAGACAACCATAACAAATCACATCAATGGCTCATGGACGGTCATAGTTGATGTGCGTTTTTTGTTAAATGAAACTAAATAAATAAATAAAACCTCTCTATGGTTTCACCAGGTGATGTGATCCCTCCTTCTGCTGTGCTCGTCTTTGACATCCACGTCATCGACTTCCACAACCCCAACGACACGGTGGCTGTCCAGGTCATCCACAGACCCGAAGTGTGTAACGAGACCACAGAAGTGAACGACCTCGTCCGCTACCACTACAACTGCTCCCTCATGGACGGCACGCTGCTCTTTTCCTCGTGGGTCGCACAAATACGCACATCCTCATCTCTTTTAAGAGCGATTCAAATTTTAGATCAGCATAAGTCATCATCTTTTTGTTTTGTCTCCTGACTGGCCTCGTCCTCAGACACAACTACGGCAGCCTTCAGGACGTCGTCCTGGGCTCAGACAAAGTGATCGACGGGCTGGATCAGGGCCTGCAGGGCATGTGTGTGGGAGAGAGGAGGGTGATAACGGTGCCACCTCACCTTGGCCATGGGGAAAGGGGAGGTGAGATTTCTGCTGTATGACCGATGCTTGTTTATGGCCACAGCACCAGTAAAAGTTGCCATCTTACAGATGTTGACAGTTGTGTTTTTAACTTTCTGCCAGCTGCTGGTGTGCCGAGCAGCGCCGTGTTGGTCTTTGACATAGAGCTGCTGAGCTTTGAGAAGGGCGTGCCGCCTGGTTACCTGTTTGTGTGGCTGGAGGACACTCCTACAGACCTGTTTGAAGCCTTGGACATAAACAAGAATGCAGAGGTGCCACAGGAGGAGGTACGTAGACAACTGTCATTTCACATAGTAGGATTTAAAAAAAGGCAGTGAGGAAAAGCAACATCAGTAGTCCAAGTAACCGTTGGATTTTTTTAAAATATGTCTACTGACATCATGTCTGTGTTCCTCCTTTATAATCACATTATTATTTAACATTAGTTTAATTCATGTTTGTCAACTCTGTTCTGTTTTTTTTTAGTCTGAACACAATATGATAAGTATTTACTGAATTTTCTTTACGCAAACTACAGTGTTGTGGAAAAGTATTCGACCCCCTTGTTGATTTCTTAGTTTTTTGCATAGTTCTCACACTAACATGTTTGAGATCTATCAAACAAATTTTAGCATTATACAAAGACGCCCCAAGTAAATAGAAAATGCCGTTTTTAAAAGTTGAACTTATTTATTAAGGGGGAAAATGTCCAAATCTACCTGATCCTAGTGAAAAAGCAATTTCCTAAACCTAATAACTGTTTTTTCCGCCCCCGACTGCATGGACTGGCACACCTCTGTATATGGCAAGATGCAAGCAAGCCAGTTTAGCCTGCACTTACTAGGCTGTATAAGCCTGCATTTCTGTTTCCCACACTATACAAT